CCCCCCCCCCCCCCCCGGGTCAAAGACAGGGATAACATTCAATGTGAAAACAGTGTATTAAGAGGACTTTGAATAAATAAATAGAATTTCTTTCACAGCATTGAGTATTATAATACACCTTAATTGTGATTCATCATCAAGCTTTTGTTTCTTCGGTATCTTGACATTTGAGGCAAGATCATCATCATCAGCATTCCATTTTGCTTGTCTCTTATTCTTGCAGAAATTAGCTTGTTGCTCAACCCTGTTGTATAAGAGGAAAACGAAATTGTATATTAGAAATGCAAAAGACATAAATGTAAAGAACAACAGGATGATTCCCCCTAAAATGTGTCCCTCATTTATCCCCCTATTCCTTCCCCTTACTTCCCTTAGAGTTCGAGGACTGCTATGCATATATCAACAGTGCAATGAACTACCTCAACGGTGCAATGGCCTTCTTGCCAGCGGGCAAAACAAAACAAAGATGACAACAACAAAAATCATAAAAATATAAGTTTTATGTGTTGTATTCTCATGTGGTGAGCTGTTAATAACAATTGTCTTTACAGTAACAAATCTATATTTGCCCCCCTGGAAGTCCCATAATGCCTTGCAATGCAGGATAGCCGCCGTATCGACACGGCGTCAAAGTAGTCCATTAGCGTATGGAGACACTTTTAGTACATCCCTCCCTCCATCCCACCTCTTATCACATGTGACGCTTTACAATATCTATATTAACTGTTTAGAAACATCTGGTGCTGACTTGTAAATTTTATAAAGTTCTCTAACCTTATAATGTCTCCATCTCTAACAAGTTCTATTCTCTCCTGTGCCGGTAGTAGGAAACCTTCATTGTACAAATTTAAAGTCGAATTTTTTTGTAACTCAAACTTTCTTTGAATCAAATGCTCCAAGTCAGCCACAAGACGACAAGACGCTGTGTCAAAAAGAAACCATGTTTTCTTGCTATACCCTGGAGTTAGTTCGTCAAAAGATAGCCGAACGCGGATAGACATTGTACGAAGAGTTTTAGAGGTTATTTGAGTCAGCAAATATCAATTTTTAGTGGAATTTTGCAGAACTTTCACCTTCTGTCTTTCCGCCATGACACTCAAATGTGTCACATGTGCTTTCTAACGACGATTATGATTGGATATCCTAACAATGTACCTTCAACCAATCAAGTTATAGCTAATTTTTAGAAATCATGACAACAGAAAGACTCTGAGAAAGATAAATAACTTATAATTTCTTCTTTTCTATCGATTCTTTTTATTTTTTGGAAGATTCCATATGAACTTAAAAATTTTTCGTCGACTTACGACTTCGGTTTTCAGTGATTTAGGATTTTTTGCGCCCGCGTTGCTTTTCCGTCTGCAGCGGTGACACTAAAACCCGCGCAAACTGTCGATCAAAACCTGGAGCCTTCGATCATCGATCCCCTTCAGCCCGGATGTATAAGGAAACATGGCGAATGAAGGCAAATCTGGAGACGAACTCGCCAACGACGAAATAGCCACCCATGAAAAATATACGAGTTTTGAGAGCAAGTACAACCGTCCTAGAGCCTCGTTGAAATGGCTCTTACTAGATGTTGTTTGTTTTGCGGTCGTGGGTCTGCCGATTCTTGTGCTATTCCTTATAGGTGTTCCTTACAAACGTGGCTTCAACTGCCATGATGATAGCATTAACAAACCATTTAAAAAAAGCACTGTCTCCAGTCCTCTGGCTACAGCTGTTGGCCTAATATTGCCAGGCATAACCTTCGTTTTGATTGAGTATTTTCTACATCGTTCAAAGAATCAAAAGGTGGCTAATGCGAAGGACGTTGGACCAGTCATATACATCGGCCCCATCAAACTCAACTCTTTGCTTCTCAAGCTGCTTAAGATAACAATAGTCTTTCTATTTGGCGCTGCAGTGAATGTTTTGCTAACCGATGTAGGAAAGTACGGTGTTGGTCGTTTAAGACCCCATTTTCTTTTCGTTTGTAAACCGAAAATGGGTGTTATTTCAAACTGTACTGAAGGGGAGTACATAACAGGAGACGTTTGCACGGGCGATGAATCTCTTATCAGACAAGCAAGGTTATCATTCCCTTCCGGTCACTCGTCTTTTGCCGGTAAGTTATAAAATTCAAGACACTTTTGACAAAGTACTAAAGAAAGTGTCTGTAAAACAAGACTATGAGTTATAGCTTGTACAAGAATGTGTAGTTCCAGAACATATCTATACCCCACCCACAAAGGAAATTGGAAATTCTGGAGGGGAGGGAGTAAGAGAAAAAGCAAAATTACAGTTTGTATGGAAGAAAATTGGACATTCCTCGTGTTAGAGGGGTTCTTTTACAAATACCTTTCATGGTGTGGGTATGGATATTTTTCTGGAACTACACGATAAACATTTGCATGACTAGTCACTGACCTCTACAACCAAACTCCCTTGCACACTTTCTTTTGTTCAGTTAATTAGCACCAATTGTCTTACTATTCTCATGAAGGAATACAAATTTAAATAACAAAGGAAATTTGCAAAGCATTATGGAAGTGGGAGTCAAATGACGCCATCATGCATGCAAATACCCTATTGATTTATACTCAAGGCAATGGTAGTATATATTAGCTAAGTTACTTGTATTATGGTTATTGTATGTATTCTACTTTTTTAAAATTTCTTTATACAGTTAGAGAGGGATATCCCTTTCAATTGCCCTATTTCACTATGACGTCACTGCTTGTTTATGTGGGGGATAGAGTCATCAAATCCAATAGAAAATTCAACAAAATTTGCTCCTAGCGAAACGGTTTAATATAAAATGGCCTGGTTTTCAGATAAAATATGTGTTAATATGTACTAAAAAAAATTCTGAGCGTTTGCTGGCTTGTGGATTGATACAGGTTTTAGAACAATTTTTGGTGAATTTGCGTTGATTTGACCCCCTCCGACAACCATGATGCTTTGTGTTTAAACAATAGATTGTTTTGATGTGACGTCATAGTAAAATAGGGCAATTTAAATAAAGTATCTATCTACTGTATCTATCTACCATACCCCATAGGTCAGCACCCTATGGTATTTTGTTTTGCAGTGGTCAGAGGTATGTAGTGAGTTCTGCAATTGTAATGCATATGGAGGGAGGGGGGAGAGTAATGTAACATGTGTTTCATCTTTAGAATTTATTGCCATATCCATAGGTTTATAAAAAACCCTTTTTGATCATCATCATCATCAGTTGTCATCATCATCACCATCATGATCTTCAGTAATAAGCCAAATCATCCTTAATTTTTATTGATTTTATTGATCCATTTTATTGCTTATAATAAATAATTGTGATTTATGTCCTTTTAGCATATACAATGGTTTTCCTAGTCCTTTACCTGCAAGCTCGTCTCAACATTTCCTCAAGTCTCCTGCTGAAACCAGTATTGCAAATAGCAGCCCTCATCCTGGCTTTGCTCTGTGGTATCTCAAGAGTCAGCGACTACAAGCACCACTGGTCAGATGTCCTTTCAGGCTTCATTCTTGGAACAATGGTGGCATACATGGTGGTGTGGAAGCTTCTTAAATGGTTCAAAAATATATCTGGTGAAAAACAGAAGATGTCTCTCAAGGACATTGTTTAAGTAGGATTAAATACTAACCTTTTAAAAAGTTAAGTCATATGGCGATTAAGGAAAACTGGGGGATAACATTATCATAATAATTTCTGTTATCACCAGGGCCCAGTTGTACGAAGGGTGTATAGCTTTATCTGATAGTTAAATCTTATCCATTACCCTTCATAAATTTGGGCCTAGTAACATTAGAGAAGATGTACCCAGAGGATCCAAAGACATCTCTTGTCTATCCCTTGTCCTTACTACCATACTTGTCTCTACTATCTGTGTCTCTTCCATCCAGTCATCCCCTGGCGATTCCCAGGACATCCCCCTGTGTCTTACATGGTATTTACCTGATAAGTGACTTATCATATGTTGGCAAAGATGATTTAGGATTTAGGATTTAAAAGACGGAAAAGACAGTTGTTCAATTGACTGCAATCTATATTTTACTAACGTTTTTATTGTTTTTGTGCCGGCAGAAAGCGTAGCCTATTCGCCAGACAAAAACGACCAAATAGTTAACCCTATCCCAGACTAAAATGATACCCTATCCCAGACAGAATGTCAAAAATAATACCCTATCCCAGACCCAAAAGCCGAAAAACCATACCCTATAGGGCAGTACATACCCGTATAGCAAATATAGGGGAGTACCCCCCCCCCCCCTGGGCCCCCAGCACAGCACAGCTTCAGTGTAAATAAGTGGTTAGCTTTCTGAATTCTGTGTGAAATAAAGTTAATATTATAATTATTATGACCCTAATCCTAACCCAAACCAAAACCCTAAAAAATCTTTACCTTAAACCTTTTTTTATGGAATAGTGCCATTTCATGTGCTTTGGTAAAACGGTAGACTCTGGGATCAAGATTGTCATTTACCCAGATATCCCAAGCTTAATTTTAGGTCTTGATCGAATTACAGTAAATGAATGGAGTTTGTAAAAGATAAATTGATATATTAGCTAAGAAATACATTGTAAATATCTCTTATCAAAACTTACTTGCTTGTATTGGTCTGGGATAAGTTTGAGGCCAATGTATCCAGTATTTCAAAAGTTACAGCAAATTTTATTTTTTCACGTTTAAAAAGTTTCATTGACTTTTTACCTCTCGCTACCTGCCCAGCTATGGAGCTATTGACTTCTGGCTACCCTTGGAGTTAGATAGTTTGCTGCTTCCATTCAGGATCGAAGAGGATGACGCCAGATTTCTATGTGGAGTACAGGCCCATGTTAGTCATGTTGAAGGACAAAAGCCTCCCTCCCAGGGGTGTGTGAAAAATACTACATAGCCCCGTTTGTCCTTGAAACTTCTTGGTGAAAAACAATCACAAATCGGACACGGTCAACAAAAATTCGGTTTTGCACTTGAAATCAAGTCTGGAAAGAAATTGTCAAAGTTCCTGTTGCGTTTACATACATTCCCTTATAATAGCCTTTCGCTCAATAAGCGCGTATTCATCGGAGAACAACTTTAATTTCTCCGGCTGTACATGAGCTGCGAGCTCCAAATATAAAGTTTCAACGACTTTCGAGCTCTAGCTACCAGCGCATGTAGATACGTTTCTGCTTTTTTGCGGGATGGAAGAGGATGATGGCAGATTAGAATGTGGTTTGAAGACCATCCACAGCCAACTTGTTGAACACAGTCCTACGCCCTAGGGGTGTGTAAAAATAACAGATAGCAGTGCTGCAACTGGAAATTTCTTGTTGAACATTATTCCCTATCGCATACGACCAAGAAAATTCAGTTTTGCAGTTGAAATCAAGTCGCGAAAGAAATTGTCAAAGACCCTGTTGTGATTACATACATTGCCTTATAATAGCCTTAACTATTCCCCTATTGGATACGGTCAGGAAAAGGCGGTTTATCGGTTGAAATTATGTTGCAAAAGAAAATTGTCAAAGTCCCTGTTGTGTTTACATACATTCTCTTATGAGAGCCTTTTGATGAAGAAGCGCGCTATTGTCGGAGAACCCCTTTAATTTCTCCGGCTGTCTATAAGCTGCGAGCTCCAAATAAATAGTTTCAACAACTTTGGACCTCTGGCTTCCTGCGCCTGTAGATAGGTTTCTGCTAACGTGCAGGATGGAAGAGGATGACGGCCGAATTGAACTATTTACTTGTCTTTTTGTTCAATTCTTTCGACTTTGTTATGGTAAAAAAAAAAAAAAAAAAAAAAAAAA